TCTTAATGCTCATTTTGTCTCCTGTCTTATAATTTGTTTCTTTCCTTTAGAGAGTAGTAATTGGTCAATGGTGTAATAAAGTTGATGTTGCTATTAAAATGATAAAGGAAGATGCAATGAATGAAGATGATTTCATTGAAGAAGCAATATTGATGATGTAAATTTTGCTGATTTTCTGCATCATATTTATGTTCTTGTAATGCCATTGGAATGCCATGCCTGTATAAAAAAATTTCTACAATTTTTATTAAAATACAATATGTCATTATTGAGACTGTCTCCTTTACATTTTGTGTTTCTGTGTTTGCAGAAAATTCCAACATGATAATTTAGTAAAGTTATATGGAGTGTGTATCAGACAAGGACCTGTTTATATCATCACTGAATTAATGGCTAATGGTAAGATAGTATTAAAATTAACATTAAATAATCTTTTTGATACTTTGTTTGTCAGCAATATTCTCTTCCTCAATGCAGGTTCTCTACTCCAGTATCTTCGTAATAATCAACATTTAGTAGATAATACAGACATAATACTTGACATGGCTATACAGATTTGTGCTGCTATGAAGTTTTTTGAACAGTCTGGTTTTATACACAGAAATTTGGTAGGTGAATAATTAAGTCAGGGGGTAAACACCTGTTGGTCAGTATAGAAGTGCTTGCTGCATTTATCTTTTAAATATCATTTGCATGGTGAGCACTTTCACAGATGCTTCATTTGTTTTGTTTTTTTTGAAGTCCATGCTTTTCTGCATGTTATCCTTATGTTTTTGAATGCAAACCTGTTTAAAATAAACCAATTTATAACCAGCTACATGTACCACAAAATTCATGTCCTTCACCAAAATTGAACTTTTATAGTTTTGCTATTCTTCTATACACACAGGCTGCTAGAAATTGTCTGGTTGGTGATAGGAATATTGTTAAAGTTGCTGGCTTTGGTTCAGCAAGATATGTTCCTGATAATGAATATACAGCATCTGAAGGTACAGAGTTTGCTGTAAAGTGGATAGCTCCTGAAGTCATCACTCATGCTAGATATAGCAGCAAATCAGATGTTTGGTCATATGGTAAGCTATTTCTAATTGTAATATTTTATTTTGAAGTTAAGTTGGCACTGTATCTGAATGATTTTCCACATTATTTTAATCAAACGAAATTATTGATTTTTGCAATTAGCAAGAGAAAAAGCAAAACATGTACTTATGCAATGCTATTAATCATTTTGTCATTAGGTATTTTGTTGTGGGAGTTGTGGACTGGTGGTAAAACTCCTTACCCAGCCTTTACTAATCCTCAAGTATTAGATGAAGTAAATGTGTTTTTATTTCTTTCTCTACTTCTCCATTTTAACCATTTTACCTTTCTTTTACTTGCTCTGTTCTAGGTTTTAAGAGGATATCGATTAGAAAAGCCTAAATTATGCCCTTCTAAAATTTATGATTTAATGAAAAGGAGTTGGCAGACGGTATGACATTTATATACATGTGCATATGCTGCTCAATTAGTCTTTGGCCATGTAATTTCTCCAATTACTGGTAGTAATTTAAATGGCATGTTACACATGTGTTTATAGTAGATTAAAATTGAACCTACAATGTAATTATGTTGTTTGTAGCTGTATTGTCAAACATAT